AGTGCTTATAAGGCTGAGTTCACCTGAAACTCATCAGACTGAAGAAGTCTCTTGGACGAGAGACGAAACGTTTCACTAAAGAAGAACCCATCTAGAGGACCAACTTATGTTTTCTTTTTGATTTTTTCTACCTGGATAACTGAGACGCATCAGGATACCTTATAAATGAAATTTCTTTGACCTACTTGTGCAGGTTATAAGCCCTTTAAGTGCACACTGTGTCAAAAGGAGTTTCTAACTGGTTACCTGCTGAAAAAACACATGGAAGTCCACGTCAGCGAGAGGAGGTATAAATGTGGCGAGTGTGGCAAGCTGTATAAAACCATCGGACATGTCCGTGAACACATGAGGGCCCACTCCGATGAAAGACCCTACCACTGTAGCAGATGCAACAAAGGGTACAAGACCAAGGTGATTCTGTTATAAATAAGCAACAGTATCCGTAACATTTATATTTTAAAAAGATGTAAAAGCTAATAGCTGTGTAAACATTTCTCCTTATTTTTGCGTAGAATGCCTTACAGGTTCACCAGCGAACTCACTTTGACGACAAACCGTATGTGTGCGAGTTCTGCCTAAGAGGCTTCAGAGAGAAAGGCTCGTTGGTGCGACACGTCCGCCATCACACCGGAGAGAAGCCTTTCAAGTGCTCAAAGTGCGGCCGAGGCTTCGCCGAGCACGGGACGCTCAATCGACACATGCGCGCTAAAGGTCGCGACGACGGGAAGAAGTTATTCGAATCATGCATTAAATTGATGCCTGTTGACCTGTTTGTGTTTCTTTTTATTTCACACCAGGAGGCTGCCAGAAAGATGGTTCCGGTGAACAACAAGATGGTGTAACGGAGGAGCAGGCCTCGGTGGACGGTCTCACCTCAGCTGACGTCGTCTCGGAGGATCCTCACGCTGTGTTGGTGGAGTTCTCCTCGGTGGTGGCAGACACACAGGAGTATATTATCAAAGTAAGAGCTTTATCAGAGCGCTCTTTTGTCTTTATTTAATGTTTAATCTCATTCTTTTGATCTTTTATTGTTGAGTGTTTGTTTTTGCTGAATTGTAAAGCACTTTGTTCCCTTGGAGTTTAAAAGGACTTTTTAAATAAATTAGATTGGATTGGTGGTACACCTTGATGGTGACAGGATTTTAAAAATGATGACAGTGCATTAACCCTCTGGAGCCTGGTCACATGACCATTTAATCGCTCTATCCAGAAAAATACGCCCTCTCTTAGACTCCGTTTCAATTTGTGTCAAAAGTAGAGACTTCAAACTATAGCTCAGATTTTAAGTTGTGTTTGATACGCCAAATAAAAATAGTACACGCCACTCTTTTTTCCAAATAGGCATTGCAGCGGCAGTTAGAAGGAAACACTGTAGTCTCATGGATAAAATGGCTCAATCCACCGTCAGTCCCGTCCTTCCCTTGAGCCAAAATAACATAAACCCACCGACCTCCTCTCAGACCGAGACCCAAAGGTATTTGACAAGTGCGAAAAAGATCCACAAGAAGAAGAAAAAAAAAGCTAATGGAGAGATGGTGAGAGCGGGAGAAAGTCAACACGTCACAGACCATTCGCTCCCCATGCCCCGCCCCTTTCCTCCCTGCCTCAGTAATACCCTATACCACGGTATTATCTAAAGATATTATATCGGTATGAAAAATACCAATACCACCCAAGCCTATAGGAGAAAATATCATTTTAAAATTGTTTTTTACTGTCTTTTAATTGAATTGTTGATTTACATCATGAATAGCATCATCATTTAGCTTTTACCCCCTTACCACAGTCATGTATAGCTTATGGTAGGGCTGGGTTAAAAAAATCGATTTAATCGCTCTGGATCAATTTTCGTTCAAATTTGTGAAAATCGATTCATAAGTCACGAGATCAGTTTTTCGCCATGGKTGTTGTGTGTGTGATGAAGCTGTGCATTTCCATGTTGTGTGTCACTCCTGGCTTGCCGTAGATTTACATCCTGTTGACACTCAGGGCTCATTAGCTCTCGACAACAAGTTGTCTGGGGCAAAACAAAAGAAAGGAATCACTAACATTACAGCTGATTCTCAGCTGAACTTAGAGGCCATGACAACTTTTGTTTGCAAAGATTTGCGCTCGGATGCGGTAGCAGGAAATGAAGCTTCGAGCGGCTCGAACCAAAACTACGGTATGTAAACATCTGACTGAAACTGTTCTCCTCCTGTATAAATGTGTGAAAGATGACAGTCTAACAAATTGTTTTTTGTTACCAGTATTATTTTTATATTTAAGAAACATCTTAATGTAATTCACAGTGATGGAATGTTTTAGCTGAGGTACTCTTTTTTTCTTTCTCCTTGTTAATAAGTTTTATTGAACAGATGCTAACAGAAACATTACAAATATACAGTTTTCATACCCTCAAAAGAGTGGGCAGAAGTAAACACTTATATTATCCCACCTCTTTTCCCGTAACCTTAATCCATCACTTCTTAATGATCAAGAAAATTATTCTTAGTTTCTTAAAAATCTATTGTATCCAACAACTCTTTCTCTTGCAATTCCTTTTTAGTTTAAACCCTTTGAAACTTGAGACAGTTTTGTTTCAAGTTTAAACTCCAATTTACAAGTTTGCCCTTAATGTTTATAATTTTACCAATGCACTAAGTTAGAATTAGTTTCTATTTACAGAATTATTTCCTTTGAGAATGTCTTCTGTATCAAAATAAATGTGCTACTGCACGATATCCTTAACTAATTTAAAAATCAACCAAACTGAATCATGAACTGAATCAAATCGATTTGGGAAATCTGAATTGATAYCCAGCCCTAGCTTATGGACACATTTATTCAGGATTGTTTTATGAGGGAAAACTCTGACAGTTTTCTGATGGGTGTGTTATGGTGGTACGCTGGTTGAATTAAATAGTTTCTTTTCTTATACTCTCCAGACTCAAACTGAGGAGGAAATGCAGGAAGAAGTTACACTCATTCAAGAAGAGCAAAACGAGGTCAGTATGTTCGCATGTGGAGCACATGGGAGAACAGGATCTGTAAAAATAACACAAGCAGTTTGGCTGAACAAACTGTGACGCCGGAGGAAAGCRTTTGTTTCTACAAGCATTCACGTCAAACGTCTTCCTCCCAGGTGGGACACCAGATCATGAAGGTGGTTCAGCAGATCGTCAGCCAGTCGCACGGTGCGGGCAGCCACCAGATCATCGTGCGAAACGTGGCGGACGAGGAGGGCGCGTCCGTCTCGGACTGCGGCGACACCATCACCATCGCCACGCCGGAGAGCCTGACGGAGCAGGTGGCCATGACGCTCGCCTCCGCCATCAGCGACGGCACGCTGCTGGCCACCGCGGGGGAGGCGGAGGGGACTGTTACCGTGGTTACCACAGAGGAAGCAGCGGGAGAGGGGATGCAGATGGTGCAGCAACAAGAGGAATATGTCATCACGTCCCCAGAGGAGGTGGAGATCCAGACTGTAGTTGTATGATCAAAGAGGGACGACGACACTGGACTGAGTTTTTCATGAGCTTCACACGTGAAAGGGTTAATTCTCAAACTAAAGCCAAAGTGTTTCCAGGCTTGATGGACACAAAAATAAATACAAGTGAAATATTGGGAACGCACAAGAATTAGTTCCACCTTTGTGTTTTGTTGATTAACTTGAACATGGCGGCTAATTTCTGAACCCACAACTAAATACTTTGAACGTTTGTCCCGAGAATTTGTTAAATTACTTCTTAATGAAACAAACGCATCTTATTTCTGCCCAATCACATGTAACCCATCATGTCGAAATGAGGATTAAGTAAAATTTGGTCAAAATGATCTAACTACATTTTCAGATTCTTGGCTTTAAAAACTACATTTTGATACGTGGATCATCCTGGTATCATAAGCTTATCCAGAGATATGACTTAATTTGTCCTGTTGGTTACGATGATGCATTACTGTTTGGTCTGAATTCTAAATTTACATACATTTATTGAGTAATTTCTGATGTCAATATAAAGAGTAAACCTCAAATATTATTTGTATATTAAGATTTTCCAGTTGGAAAGAAGCAAAAACATTGCAAGCTCACAAGGAATAATTCAAAGTTTTAAGGCATTTTTCCTCAAAATCAGATTTTTTGTTGCTACGGCTCAAAAAAATGCTTCAAAAATTTCGTTTTAGGATTATATTTCAGACAGTTCATTCAAATGATTGATAAGGCATTAATTTATTATAATTTACAAAATGCAATGTTTGCACACCTTTAAATCAAAACCTTATATCTGCCTGTTTCTCCACATTCCACTTTTGGACTTAATCCTCATTTCGATGTGATGGGTCACATTATTTGCTACTTCCTCGTATTTTTGCAGCTTTATTGTATTTTTCCCCCCAATCCGGTTCCTGTTAGCTCAGCCACGGCCGTCACGTTTTTAAACTTTTTATCTCAAATTTGAAGTGCGACACCCTTTGAGAGCCGGTAAGTGGCCCTGCYTGTCCAAGGCCGTCCATGACAGTGTTCCCACTCATAACGCATCCTTCAACCAGGCAGGCCCGCCAGTGATGAGGTGTGCAAATGTGTTACAGTTTACATCAAATAAATCCTATTTTTTTAAATAAACATCTGATGCATAATTGTTTCAATTTTAAGCTCCTCCTTTAGATTTTAGCTGCAGAGTTCCTGCAGATCTTTAAAAAGTCTTAAAAGGTCTTAAATTTAGCTTGCCTTAAACTGTAGGAACCCTGAGCTGTATTAAATTCTGTCTTTATGATTGCTTGTTACGTTGATAGAGCACACAAATCAGGTCTGTTACCGTAATGAGATCATTTTCTCTCCCAAGCTTTGAAACGCACCACAGCTGACGGGCCCAGCTGAAGCGTTTGCTGCGTATAACCTTGAGCCCGTCTGCAGCCTGCTGCTCCGGCACGGAGGTGAACACAGACACTATAATCAGAAGTGTCCCTGCCCGGTGCAGCACACATTTTCTGGGTCATCCCTCRGCCCTCTGAGAGGGCTTCATCCACACGAGCAACAGTGGGAGACGAAGAGAGAGAGAGGGTGGGAGTGTGGGAGGGAATGGTATTTATAGAAAAATGGGGCTTCGCGGTACCTTTTCTTGCAATGAACCATTTCAGGAGCGAGTGAGTTTGTCCCAGTTTCGTGCTCGCTGCTCAGCTATAGGGGGTTTGGGCTGAGGCTGAGGCTGATCCGCCTCACCCAGGATGGAGAGCCCGACTCTTCAGACGCTCTCCTCTGACCTCCACCGGCGCAGACCCTTGCTGCTGCTGCTTCTCTGAAAAATCAAGGGAAGTGCCTCACACATGTGAACCCCCCCAGGGCCGCTGTACTGTTCGGGGCGGGTGGAGGCTTTTGGAGGCGGTGAGCTGGTTCAGGTGAGTTGCAGCGTGGAGGGTGTCCGAGGGGCACTCTGTGGCTGCGTTAACCACCCCCCCAGGCTGGGGGTGAAGAGGAAGGCTGGCCGGAACGTGCCCTGCAGCAAGCCGGGCGAGGATGAGGCGTTTCCTGAGCAGGAAGGGCCGCTTCTCCCTGCGCCAGAGCAAGTCCGGGACCCGGAGTGCCTCCAAAGATTTCTGTAAGTCCGTTTGTCTAAACAACTCCTCTTTAGATGTTCTTCATGTGCTTCACTCGCTCTAATGTAGATGGTGAAATCAGGACAGGAGAAAAAGGTTGGATTAGAGAAAAAGTGATTGCAGCTGCTCATCACAGAAATCTATTTTAGATTTGATTCTTTTCTACAGTTTGACACCAAGTTTTGCCACTCTAAGCCTTGGATAAATGTTTTATTCAGTCAGTTTTATCTCACTTTGTGTTTTTAGCCCTTTGCTCCAGTCAGATCTGATTTATCTTTTAWGTATTAAAGCCCCATTTCTTGTTAAGTCCTTTTTGTTCTTTCTTGTAATTAACCTTTTTGTGAGGAGCTTTCTATTTTTGTGTCTCTGATCACCTACAAAACTGAACACACTGCACTTTTGTCTGTATGTGTAGTTTTGTAGTTTGGCTTATGTAATTTTATCTTTTTGTCTTCACACTTTGTTTCCAAGTTGTCCGATCCCGTTTTTTGTTATGTTTATGACGCGTATGACGGATGAAGAGCACGTTCACTGAGCTGTAGTCTGCCTCGGTTCAAGCAGCCCTGTGAAACTAAAATGAAAAATGCAAAAGAACAATGAGACAAAAGAGACTGGAGCATGAGATTATCATGAATAATAGCAGGGACAAGTGATTTAACACAAAAAAATGTGTTTGCCAGAACACAAAAATATAAACTGTATTAATGTGTGCCAATAATCTCCTCATATTCAGCGTATCTGAATGACTGCACTGTGGAGATAAAGTTAAATGGGTCGACTGGGACACTTGTGCAGCAGCAGAATGAGGCCAGTGACCATGGGAAGGCCAGCAGTTCAACATGTGGTCTAGATACCACAGGTCACAAAGAACCTCCTTTATTTTTTTATTATTATTATTTTAATCCCTTTAACTTACAAAATCCATCTCAAAGTTGTTTTTTAAGTTTTCATGCTGCCACATTTTAGCATCCTGCTGCTTTGTGTCTCAGGAGGGTTGAACYATTATTGCATTTTAATCAGCAGTGTTTTATGGTCATCACTGCACTTCAAAGTAATACATATGTTATTTAATAAATATCTGTTATTTGTTATAATCTGTTATTTAGATCCTGCTTCATCTTTCGTTTGTCTTTCAGTCCTTGGCCTCCCTGCCACCAACCAGAACTGGCCCGAGGCCTTTGGTTTCCGGCTGGGGGGCACCGGCCCCAGTTACATCCTGTCCGTGGTGGAGGGAAGTAGTGCCTACCTTGCTGGCTTACAGCCAGGTGACCAGGTGGTGGACATCGAAGGCCAAGATGTGACTAACCTCAGCACACCTGCTCTGATCGCTCTGGCTCAGACCCTGAAGACCGTCCCACCCAGCATCGGTGTGGTGTCACGCCTCGAACAGGTAAATAATTCACGTTTATGTGTTTTGTTTTTTTTTGGGGTGGGGGGGTCCTGCAGTCACTAAGTAGGAGTTTCTTGTTTTGTGGGAGGAGTTTGTCCAAGATGTGATTGGTTGGATTGACTATTTTGRGTGTGGTTTGAAGAAGCTGGGGGGCAGCTGGGAGAAGCTCAGTCAAAACAGCCAGGAAGCACCTATATTTTAATATAAATATAAAGGTTTAGTCATAACTCAAAACAAAAAAGTGCTAGCTGAACGAAACTTGAACGCCGAACATGTGAAGGGACATGTAACAATTCAGCTCAGTCAAAACAGCCCTAACAGGCCTGTAAAAATATAGCTTTATATGAATATGAATTAATATTAGTCATAACWTGAGACRGGAAGGTGCTTGCTACATGAACTTTGAAGTCAATAAATTATATTTACAYGTTCACAATAATTTTACTATTAYCATTACTTCCTCGTTTAAATTGCCCACAAGACAARTCAATCCAACCAATCAMCRTTTTGTCAAGCTCCGCCTACACTGAACCTRTTAGGACAAACTCCGCCCACCCAACAAGAAACTCCCCCAATGTACTAAAAAGACCCTTGTTTTAATTTCTAAAGCAATTCCAAATTCATTGGGATGTTGTGTAAATTGTAAATAAAAAATAAAATCACAGTTGCATTGTGTTTTTTTTCTTGGCTTCAGTAGTATTTACTATTTTTCATTACAAATAAAATCTGGGTTTATGAAAATTCCAAATCACTACATCGTTTTACACAGCAAACAAACCTTTTCATAACTGGAGTTGTAGTAGAAGCTTCACTCGTGTCAAATATTCTTTTACTCTTTTTTTTTTTTTTTCAGATTGACATCACCCCAGGCCCAGACGGGCGTTTTGGCTTCACCATCGTGGGAGACAGCCCTCTGATGGTCGAGGAATGCATGCCCGGCGGGCCTGCGGCACACAGCGGCCTCAAAGTTGGCGCCTACGTCATGGAGGTCAACGGCATCCCCGTGAAGCACCACGAAACGGCAGCAGCCATGATCAAAGCGGCGCAGGGGCGACCTCTGCGCCTGGGCGTGCTCAGCATGGCTCGCCGGAACAAGCGGCTGAGCAGCAGCATGAGGGTGCTGTCGCAGAGCGGAGACAGCGTCAGGGAGAGTCGAGCGCACAAGGCCATGGAGTTCAACAAGAAAGTGGGTCTGAACCTGTTCCACGGCTCTTAAGAAATATTCTCGTTTCCTTTTTTTTAATGATTTAAATTAATCTTATCCTCAGGTAGAGGAAGTGCTCGGAGAAGAGCCAGATGTGAAGGAACAGCTGTTTGAGGTGCTCAAGCAGTACGCTTCAGAGAGGGATGTGGAGAGTCTGGCTGAAGCCCTGCCGGACATTTTGATCACAGAGGAGCATCAGCAGCTGATCGACAACGTCAGGTAGCCATCCTTGTTGTGAATGATTCAGCTACCACCAGGCCAAATTTTAGCTCAACATCTGTRAAACGACTGAGTCACATTTGTGTCGATTAATGTAGATTAGTCATGGGTTGACTCCAGACAGTCTTCAGTAGTAGAAGCACAATTGGTGATTACTTCCTGAAAAGGTTCTTAAATTTTGTCCTGTGGTTTATGACAGTGGTTCCCAAAATTAGGTACACCACGCTAGTAACGGGTTGGACCCCCTTTTCCCTTCAGAACTGCCTCAATTCTTCGTGACATAGATTCAACAAGGTGCTGGAAGCATTCCTCAGAGATT